CCCCCCCCCCCACCCAGAGCAGTGAGTTGCTCTCGTACCTCACCGTGCTGAAGATGTTGGTAACGTTTTAAAAGTCGTTTTCAAAACTCCCAAATTCACCAGCTGCGGACGTGAGGGATGCCCTGTTAGGAAACGCAGGTGGAGATTTCAGCTCCGAGGGGCTGAATTCCATTATCAAGCTCTCCATTGACACTGCTCCAGTAAGTATTGGATAACCTATGGACAAAAAAAAAAAACAAAAAAAACAAACCCCAAAAACCCGAACAAACTTCCAGAATAACCGGAATCATCGTTTCTTTTTCCGTAGCGCCGTCGCTCCTATTCCCAACATCATGCATGGATCCCTAGAAACTGGGTAGGGAATTTGTGTTTGTGTGTGTCCCAACATTTCAAACTGCTTTTAACTTGGCTTTTCTTTTTTTTTTTGCTTTTTTTTTTGTATTGTTTTTTTTTCCTGTTGTTTCTTACGCTGAACACGCACCTTTATTATTATTATTATTATTTTTTTTTTTTTTTTTAATTTTTTTTTTGACTGGAAGTCTGTCCAGCTGCACTCTTGGATTCCAGATGCTGTTATCTTCCTAACGGAGCCGTCTGCCACCAAAGAGAGTCTTCCTTGAACCTGGCTTTTCCAAGAAACGTTGGAGTCTGTGCCTCCCTGATCTCGAGGATTTTTCACGGTTTTTACTCCTTTCAGTAGGGAAAAAAATAAAAAAAAAAAAAATCTCTTGGTAAAACTGATTTTTACAAAAAAAAAAAAAAAACTTAAAAAAAAAATAAAAAAATTTCTCCTCTCATCAACCTCTTCGCTGATGAACGAGTGATTGTGCAGGAACGTTGTGGCTTGAGGATTTTTTTGGGGAGAAGTGGCAGATGCTCCAGCAGGAAAAATGAAAAAATGAAAAAATGAAAAAATGAAAAAATGAAAAAATGTCACTTGTTGGGGACAAGGCTCCTGAACCCTCTGCTCCTTTCCCACGCAGCTTTGGAACCGTCAGGATGAACGAATGTTCCGTGGGGGGGGGGGTTTTTTTTTTTTTTTTTTTTTTTTTTTTTTTTTTTAAAAAAACAAAACAATCCAGGTAGAACTTTGAGGCGAGATTTGGGGCACACCTTTCTATTTGTATGACAAAGAAATAAACATTGAATGTGGAATTACCTCGGAATTCCTGATTTTTTATTTTATTTTTTTTGTGTCCTTTGAAGGAAAAGCTTTAGGATCAGGTTTAGATTCTCCACATCCCTGGAATTATTATTATTATTATTATTATTATTATTATTATTATTATTATTATTATTATTATTATTAATTATTATTATTATTATTTATTATTTATCTGGGATAAAGAACGTGTCATTTTCCTAAGGACAAGATTCCAAAGTGACAATAAAAATTCCTGGGAATTGATTCCATGGCTGAGCACTGGGTGTTGTGTCCTGTAAGCTTTAGGATCAGGATTAGGATCAGG